GTTCGACCCCCTTTACCGTTTCGAAAAACGAGAATCTTGGTTCGATCGGCCGAAGAAAAAATGGGCTTTTCCTTTCTCGTCGGGACGAGGAGATTTGTACGAAAGAACGAGTCGTCGACGGCTCGCGAAACGTTTCGGCAAAGGCTGATTTCGCGTCGACGACCGCATTTCCGCGCGTAAACGAAAAGCTTTTCGTCGAATGTTGGCGATCCGCCAAGCGTTGCGCTTCGTTCGCTTTCGCGGCCACCTACCGATCGAATACTCCGTTAGAACAGACTATTACGGGCAGGTACTCGGATCGCGTTAGGCTACTCGGGGCGGCGTATTCGTGCTTTTGCGGCTTCGCATCGGTTAATTAGAGCGATGATCCGCGTGTCAAAATCGCGCCGTCGCGGTTGCCCGTTGTCATCGGCATCCTCAGCCTCGTTTTCGGTCTCGCTGCCTGGCTGTCGGCTTCAAGAACCACTCATCGGAATTTACTTTGAACCACGATCAAAGTTTCGCGTCGTCGATAACGCGGCTTCTCTATAATTAACGATGGTCGAACTACGCGAAATGTTCGCGAAATTTCAACCGGACGAAACGGTGTAACAGGGTGCAACGTACGAACCGTTAACTTCGAACTGTTTCTGACTCAGATTCGAGGACGAAGCGTTCTACATATGTATATCGAAGTTCGCTACCGCCGTCGAACGCGTTTTCGATCACGAGCGATTTTACGTAGACATCTGTAACCCGCGGCTAGGCTCGGCAGATGATTTTTTGCGGTAGGAACGGAAATGGGAGCGCGAGGTAAATAACGAGGCGAAAGCTGCCACGTTCACCGCCTGTTCGGTAAGAGGAATATGGCTCGGAGCCTCGAAGCCATTATCGCTCACGTCGCGCCGCTTTTAGCTCGCGAAGCGACGCGACACAGATATTTGCCGCGACACCGCGAGTCCGATATTCGCCCTTTTATCGCGTCATCGGCTGTCTCTTCGCCTCGAAGATAGCGCGGGAGAAGAGACTCGGTCGCCGCGATTCCTCTTCTCGCGAGCGCGGTCGTATCGCCGCGAATCGATTCGCCTTTGGATACGGCTTCAAGGAGTACGCGCGCAAGGACCTTCGCTCGGAAAGGTGACGCGATACCGTTACACGTAATTACCGTTTATCGTACGAATCGAAAACCTTCTCGTCCGAAAAGTACTCGGTTAGAGGACGCTAAAGGACTCGCAGGAGAGAACAAGGAACGGAGGTAGGACAGGGATTGAATGGAGAGGTTGCCGAGAGGAGGAGGCCAATCGTCGGATATTGGCCACGCCTCGGTAGGCTCTTAATGACATTTCTGAAATCGCTCGCGGCAATGTTCGGTCGGTCGGTGATAGGCCCGAGAAGCACGGGTGTAAGCCGCGTTCTCCGCAACAGCGACGTCTTAACCGAATTGCGCGCTCTCCGAAGCTCGACGGAGCGTAGCGCGAACGCGCGGAAATCGTGTCGTCAGCCCGTATCGTACTCCGTGCACGATCGACCACGATATCCCGTCTCCCGGGGATTTCGAGTTTATCCCGATCCGTGAGAGCGAGTTAAGTCCTCGTTAAGGCGAGATTAACGGAACGAACGCTTGGCCCCCGGCTTCCGCTTCGACTTCCAGGCCAGCGTTGCTTCTCCTCTCGCATCCTCGACTTCGTCTTCTCGTCCGGCGTATCGGGTCTCTCGAATCGCGCGCGACCCGGTCAGCGAAACTTTTATTAGCCAAGGTTCCCGTAACCGGTCGACCTCGCCGAGTTACGACGCTGTCGAAGCCGACCAGTCGCGTTCCTCGCGATCCTCGCGACACGCGCGAGGCTAGCAACCGGCTTCGCGAGATGGAGTCGTTCGAGGACAACGCGTAACCGACGCGTAAATTATCGGTTATCGATCTTCTTGGCAAATTACTCGAGGGTAAAGCTGGTCGTTCCGTTGGTACGCGCGTTTACCGAGACGAACGCGGGGGAACGAGAAGGAGCGCGACTGGTTGGCTCGCGGCGTCGGAGATTGCCTCAAGGACAAAGCTCGATCCATTTCTTCGAGAGCCTGCCGCCAGGATAAATTGCCTCCGGATGCCCTCGATCGAATCCCGACCGGCTCGACTTACGACCACGAAACAGGCATCGTTTCGATACCGGGCGTCGCTCGAAATTCGCGATCGTACCTAGCGGTACTCGAATCGCGCGACGCAACTGGGTTAATGCCAGGTGAAAGGTCGCGATGCGCGAGTCGTTCTCTTGCGAACCGTGTAGTTTCGACGCGTTCGCGATGAACGCGAGCGAACTAAATGTTGAGTACCGCGCGCGAGATATATCTCGCGATAAATCTCGTTCTCTCCGAGGAAACCTTTCCGTCTCGATTTCAGCGCGATCCATTAAGAGTACATACCGTGTTATTTCAACGAACGGTTACGGTTACGCCGAATCAACGCGCAGAGAAATTTCAGGAAAGTTCGACGCCTACGTTTGCCCATCCTCCCAAGTGCCAGCTGAAGTTATGTTAATGTAACGAGCTCTTCCAAAAGGTGCCCTTGGAAATCGTAGCTCTCGCGCGAGAAAATTACGAGCCAAAGGCATTTTCTTCGTTGTAATTGCTGGAACAGCCGGTCGAAGTACGGAAGAGTTTTATAGAGTAATTTCGTTTTTAATCATTCTTCGTCGGTACTTTTTTCTCTGTCGTTCGGTCCCGATCGGCCCCTTTCTTTCCATATTATTCGACAGAACGACTTATCGCACCGCGATCCACCGGGTATCGACGTCGTAACGCGGCCATAATTTCGAGCTCTCCGTTTAATTCGATTTCGCGATAAGGCGCAAGGTAACAATAGCGATTCGGAGAAATTGTTTTCGATACGCTCCGAAACGTCGATAAAAATTGCGCACCGAGTTAATTTCTTACTTTTTTTTTTACGCCTCCGATCGTTACCGTAGAGAGGCGGACGCAACGCGGCGCGTAGCAGTCTCGGAAACGAGAGGATTTTGTCGGTAGAGGGGCGATGGGAAGCGATCGTAACCGCAAAAAGTGTCGATACAGTCGAACGATGTCCCCTTTAATTTATATGCAAAGCGGTCCATTGAGCATATTGTTATTTTAATTGATCGAATCGGTTACCCACGGTTTTCGAACATAGGCAATTCGATTATACGCGTTCTCTCGCAATTTCGAGTGCCGAATCGTGGACAGGAAGATTTATCTTCCTCGTTCGTTCTCCGGTTCTCGATTCTCCGCCGATGTTCCCTCCCGCATCTGTTTTGCCCGAAAAAATTTTACCGACCGTCTCCGATACTCGCTCGACGAATATCGACGCGTCGTCGGTCTCGCGGTACTGGCTCCGCAGAATATTTTTCTTTCTCCGCTCGTCGGTTGCAAATTCCGCGCGGGATCGGCGTACTAACAAGTAGCTACGCTCGCCAAGTTCCCGGAGGACGCGGCTGCGACGAGGGATTTTAACCATCTTCCCGTAACCATTGATCGCGACTAAAAGCTTCATTCGTTCTAAAGCCCGAACGGCGCTTTCGGATTTTTCCATCGATCGTCTCGAGGGCTGTATCGCGGATTATCGTAGATTCGAGGATATGGCTCGATAGGCGAGAACGAAGCGTCGCGATCTGGGACTTGCCGCGTTAATCCTACCGAAACGTCCGAGCGTCTCCGGCGAAGCGAACATATTTTAACGACCCGACATCGCTCGTTTCCTCGAAGGTCTACGTTCCGCGATATTAAGCTATAAACGAAAATTGAAATAAATACGTCCATCCGTTTAACGAATTTATCGCCTGGTCTCGACGCTAACCCCTCGTTTCTCTTCGTTCCGTTTTTCTTTCTTTACCGTCCGTCGCTCGACGCTGCTGCACTCGAGCGCTGTTCACTTTTTCGCTTCCTCGGTTCGCGAACGCGTGGCCGGCTCGATTCGGCCGCGCGCAACGCCCGAGTTGCTCGCTCGAACCAATTATCGCAATTTATGATAATCAGAGTAGCTCGAAGCATCGCCGGAATACGCGCTGGGCGCCATCAGCCGCGCCGTGTTTATTTTCGTTGCGTGGCTATCGCAGGGCACCGAATAACGACGTTAATTTCCTGTTTACAAGCCGGTTATTATGGAGCAACGAGTAACGCGAGACCGTACCGCAAATACACCGGATTCCTCCGAAATTTCTTCCGGTAAAATGTCGAGCGATCGAACTTTTAGCCGTCCTCGCGCCGGCTGCGATACCCACATCGCCGCGAGGCTTCTTTCGACGCTCGTAAAACGATTTTCGATAACTACCTCTTGCGTTTTCAATACGATACGGACGAGCGAGGGTTCAAGCAAAATACCGAAACCTATAAATTTCGCGATACTCCATCGACCGGCGTAAAATTTTTCGGGTAAAACGAGGCTAACGTTTCGACGGATTCTACTAGCGCGAAAAATCTCGATTTCGAAGCTGCCCGCGTTCCGTTCGCTACATGCACGCTACGAAACAGCGGAACGTTCGTCGATACATCCACCGCGATCCATCGACTCGACTATTCGAACCAGCCGGTTCTCTTTTCCCCTTGTTCCCCCTTTCCATTCTAATGATCGTCGCGTTCCGACGCGCTACGTGTATCCCCGAACTCCCCTCGATTTCGATATTGCCACGATTCTCCTCGAACAGAGACTCGATCGAAGTCGGGAGCGAAATAAGAGGGAAGCGTTCGTTACGACGCTCCGTGCCGTGTCTTTCGAACGATTTGCCTCGGTGACGTTAACCGCCAGTCGCCGAGGGCCTCTTCTTCCTTATGACGGAATCTCGACAATAGTGGGAATAAGTTACAAGTTCCAGCGTACGACGCAACATGATTTCCCCGGTGGCGTTCGCTTCTTCCTCCTACGCTTCGGTTAATCGGCCGGACGATTTGCCGAGGCTCGGTCGCGTCGTTTCTCTTCTCGCCGCCGCACAAAACCGCTATACGTGTATGGAACACGAACAAATATCTATGATTTATGATAATCAGAGTAGCTCGAAGCATCGCCGGAATACGCGCTGGGCGCCATCAGCCGCGCCGTGTTTATTTTCGTTGCGTGGCTATCGCAGGGCACCGAATAACGACGTTAATTTCCTGTTTACAAGCCGGTTATTATGGAGCAACGAGTAACGCGAGACCGTACCGCAAATACACCGGATTCCTCCGAAATTTCTTCCGGTAAAATGTCGAGCGATCGAACTTTTAGCCGTCCTCGCGCCGGCTGCGATACCCACATCGCCGCGAGGCTTCTTTCGACGCTCGTAAAACGATTTTCGATAACTACCTCTTGCGTTTTCAATACGATACGGACGAGCGAGGGTTCAAGCAAAATACCGAAACCTATAAATTTCGCGATACTCCATCGACCGGCGTAAAATTTTTCGGGTAAAACGAGGCTAACGTTTCGACGGATTCTACTAGCGCGAAAAATCTCGATTTCGAAGCTGCCCGCGTTCCGTTCGCTACATGCACGCTACGAAACAGCGGAACGTTCGTCGATACATCCACCGCGATCCATCGACTCGACTATTCGAACCAGCCGGTTCTCTTTTCCCCTTGTTCCCCCTTTCCATTCTAATGATCGTCGCGTTCCGACGCGCTACGTGTATCCCCGAACTCCCCTCGATTTCGATATTGCCACGATTCTCCTCGAACAGAGACTCGATCGAAGTCGGGAGCGAAATAAGAGGGAAGCGTTCGTTACGACGCTCCGTGCCGTGTCTTTCGAACGATTTGCCTCGGTGACGTTAACCGCCAGTCGCCGAGGGCCTCTTCTTCCTTATGACGGAATCTCGACAATAGTGGGAATAAGTTACAAGTTCCAGCGTACGACGCAACATGATTTCCCCGGTGGCGTTCGCTTCTTCCTCCTACGCTTCGGTTAATCGGCCGGACGATTTGCCGAGGCTCGGTCGCGTCGTTTCTCTTCTCGCCGCCGCACAAAACCGCTATACGTGTATGGAACACGAACAAATATCTATGACGACATCCTTATCCTCCGTTCGCGCTCGCATTTTGTAAGTTTCAACGAAACTGTTTCCGCGATTCCTCCCGATATCGGGTTAAGAATTCCTGTTTTCGCGCAATCAAATTTCTTCGCGCAGTTATCCTTTTTCACGATTACGCGAGGCCGAGACGCGTATCCGTTATCCGGAAGGTACCGGTTGAACGAGTTTGCGTAGCGTTATCCGGACGTCTTTCCTTTTCGAGCAGCGGAGAAATTCGTTCTCGATATCGCGAAAAAGTTCAATTTTCGTCGCAGCTTTCTTCTCCCTGTCGGGAACGATCGGAGAAGCGGGGAGATCGTTTCGGGGCGCATCCTCGGATGCGACAATTTCGCGATCGAGCTCTCTTCCGTGTTTCGAGACAGGCGGTAACGGCGCATCGAGCAACGGGCGAAAACAGCGCGAAATTAAGTAGAAAAATTTCCATCGATCTCCGGGATAACCCGTTTTTCTCTTTCTCTCTGGCTCTCTTCGTTACCCTTCCGTGCCGTTCCATCTCGTTTAGCTGTCTCGTTTCGCTCCGGCGGTCTCGATTCGTTTTCAATTTTACTCCTCAAATATTAGCCGAATCTTGGAACGTCGTCGGATCCTTTCGGCGGCGTAATTGAACGAGCGGGTAGCATTAACGAGAAATTAGCCCGGCCGAACCATCGAAACTCCGCAGTCCGTATCCATGGAATCGCTTACCGAAGTAGGTGCACCGGCAACGCGGGGGGATCCGCGAAAAGCGAAGGAAGGAAAACGTGCCAGAAGTTCGGTGACTGATCGAACTTCTTTTTGCCGGCGAATCGATTTCGAGATCGGGACGGAAGAGACAGAGGTTTCTTTGGAACTTCCTCGAAACGAGTCCCGCGTCGAGGCGCGATAACAACGATAAAAAGGTTTTTAACGCGAACCAGAGTTGCAGAGGACCGCGTAATCCCGCGGGTGACGCGTAACGCGCACAATTTTTATCCTCCGATTCTTCTTACTTTTCGCGATGTTTTTATTAGCGACGGCAATAATTTTTAATTCTTTCGCTCTTATCCTTCCACGAGCGTCGAAAGCGTCGTAAATTCTCGTGGTTTTTGCTCTCCGGGCTCGTTTCGCAACGGCGAATATTATCGAAACGTTGCGGTCGATGAACGCGCGCGAGTCTTATCGCGTAAACGAATCGACTCGCAAAGGGTTTAGAGTTCGACGCTCGGGAACGCGAATCGAACCCGGTCGTCGAAGCGACGGTCCGCGGTGAACAAAAGGACAACGCGTTCCGGATAAAGCGGAACAAAACGGGGAAAAAGGAAGTCGTAAACCCTCGCCTCGTCGAATTCGCGGCAAGAACGGTATCCTCGTTAACGAACTCGTCGTAATCGGAAACGTTGCTCACAGGATGTCGCGGTTCGATTTCGTTTCGGACGACAAGATCGATTTTTAGCGAACGTCTATCCATCCCGAAGAGTTAATTAAACGCGCGTTAACGCGAACGCGAAGGTAACGTTTTTGTAGCGTCGGAAAAAGTAACGCGTTGAACGTGATCGGTTTGTCGACGGAAAATATTTTGCGACTCGGTCATAATCGTTTTATTAGTTATTTGTCTCGTACGTCGCGTTCGCGCGCGTCGAAGTAATAATAATAACGCGGGAAATTACTTTGTAAAAACTGTTGGCGAGATTGCGCGTCCCGGTGACCCAATATTCGTCAAACAATGCGAAATTACGGCACAATAACGCTGTCGTTTTCTCTTTGCGGCTGATAAAAACTGATGATGCGCTTTCAACGCCAGCTTCGCTTATCCTGGTTAATAATCTCGCGGGGAACGTAGCTCGGAGGAGAAAAAGAAAAGAAAGAGAGTAAAAGCGCGTCTGAAAGTTTGTACGCGACGCAACTCGTCTCGCTTATTCTTTTTCCCGAAAGGTTAAGATTCTCGTAACGAGTTAACTCGTCGTAAGTTTGTTCGTAGTTGTTTTCGTTTGTCGGTACAAGCGCCGGCAAAGAAAATTTCAAAGTAAACCGTTAACGAAATTCCGCGATGCAGCTTCTAGATAAGAACGCGGAGTCTCGGCGTCGCGAGAGCTTTTTTCGAGCTTCCTGGTTACACGGCCGATCGGTCTTCGAATCCTTCCGTTCGCTGCGAAATCGTTGTTGCATAGACAGGAACAAAATTGATACGGTTTCCGAATCGAAACGTTGCTCGTAGACCTGGTAATGGAAAATGTCGAATAATCCGATGACCGTTGCCCCTTGCCGGTAAACGCGTGCCCCGTAGACCAGATCCAAATTGAATTCCCCGAGGCTAGCGGATGCGCGATTAAAAGCAGGGAAATTATATTAATAACGTTCATTGCGGATCCGCTTTATGGACTCGGAAGAATCTCGACCACCGGACAGTCCGCGCATCAATTTCAATTTCGGTCGAAACGTTTCGACCAAATAGTATAGCCGTTGAAGGGCGATTTAAAGGTTGGGGACGATCTTCGGTTTAGCGAAGAAATCGTGGACGAATCGGATTGTAAAATCGTCGTACGTTTGACGACCGGGTCGAATCTGTCCGAAAGTGTAAAACGAAATAACCTTCGCGGTTAGATTTCGTTCGAAAGAGCGCGCAACGGTATTCTTTCTAAACGCTCCTAGGAGAGTCATTCGTTTCGGAGGAGATTCTGGTAATAGAACGACGCGACGGTTTGCCAGGCGAACGAGCGAGTATCTCGTCGACGTTAAGAGGCGGTATTAACCTTCGAAAGCCGTGATCGTTGCACGGAAACAACCGTATTCGTCTTTACTTATTTTCACGAGCACCGTTTAATCGCCGTTCGATTTTTACCGCCGGTCGTTGTCGCTGACGCAAACGTCCTCCGCTCAGTTTCCTCTCTATCCAGGATTCGTCGAATGCGAGAAAATTTGTAAACGGACTAGTTGCGGTTCTCGGGTTACTACGGGTAGGCGGTCGATGATGCCAGAAATGTTCGTAACGGCAGAAGCTGCGCTATAGAATCCCTTGCGAGAAAGGGAGGCGTTAGAAAGGATTTCTGGAGCACGAAGAAAGATAAGGAAGCGCGTAGCGTCGAGATAGCGCGTCGCGTGCATTATACGAATAGTTTACCGTTTTCGCGAACAAAGGGCAGACGATGAGATAAACGCTGATCAAGCCCGGTAGATAGGTAGGCTCGGTTATCGCGTTTTTAACGTGTCCCACGCGCAAACAACGAATCCGTACTTGCCGTGTTTGCTTTCTTCCGGCGAACGTCTCTGCGAGTCACGCGGTCCACCGGACGGACCGCGCAAACTTTCTAACGGAGAACTGTCCCCGGTAGAGAGGCTAGATAACAGAACGACCGCGCGATATCGCCGCTCCGCCATCGTATCGTAGCTAATTAATTTTGCGATTTCGCAGCGAAGCTTTTAAAAAAGTACCACCAGCCTTCGCCAACCGCGTCGCATAATATACGGTACGAGCCTGGCGTTAATCACGGTTTCAGCGTTTTCTATCCGGCCGATAACTGGTCGTCGTAATTCCGGCATATCGGCGACGAATAGAGCTCGTTTAAAATCCGAGGATATCGATTACGCGAAAATCTCTGCGCGTCTTTCGGTGGTCCGAACGCGTTCAACCTCCCCGACTGTTAGACGTACAAACTAAACGAGACTCGGAATGTTAATTACTCGATTAGCGCGACACACGTGCTAGCCAGACGAGTGATTTATGACTTAGATGCGCCGCGGTAATCGAGGCTCGGGAATATTAACGTCGAAAGCTGAATCGTAGCGCATCCCGTTGTGTCACGATCTAGCCGCATCGATGAAGAGAACTTTATTAGGCGTTGTTCCGGTGGTTGTTCGTTTTACCCGCGCCGACGTTCGTCCTATCGTTCGGCCCCTGAAACTTCTCGACCGATCGTAGTTCGAATTCGACCGATCGATGAATCGAAACGGTCTCCTTTCCTGGAGAGGGAAGCCCTCGAACGCTCCTGTCCTACTAATCGCCGGAAACACGCCGCTTAACCGTTTCACGAGCACGCGTGCTATGCGCGTAATTCTCCGCTTAATGGGCCGCTTTCCTCGCTAATTTTCCTCGAATCGTGCTTCCACTTATAGGCCACCTGTCCGAAATGGCTGACCGTAAACAGGCCAGCGGCGAATTTCCGAAACGATCAACTTCGTTTTCACTCGTATTCTCCTACGACCCTCGTACTTTGACCGCGTTTTACTTTCCTGGCTCGCGCTGTTTCGATCTCTCGATGATCGTCGACGCACCGTGTCGGAAATCCGTTTTCCTATTTAACTCGAGTAACTTCGGAGAATTACTATTGGAGAATGTTCTCGTTACGGATGAAAACGTGACAGGCGCGAAGGAAGAAAAACAGTTTCGGTAATTTTTTTCTCGTCGCTTCGTTTCTCTGCTTCAAATATTCGCGAACAACAAATTTTTTGTCCGCTATTTCCGAATCCAGCTCTGCCGTACGTTTCGTGCCGGAAAGAATAGGTTAGCCATAAATTTTCGATCGAACGTTCGATTCGGCGAAACGCGGGACTTTGTCAGGAACGTCTGTCACGCTCGCGCACGTCGGCTGTCGCCGGTGAAATTGTTTCGACGTTACCTAAATAATTTTCGCGAAGCTTCCCGCACGGTCGACCAAGTTTTACGTAATTACGTGCGCGCGTTCGAGCGCACGAATTTATACCAGGCTAAATAGTGCGAGGAACGCGACGCGAAAGTGAATTAAAGGGAGCAAGTTCGTGGTTACGAACGCCCATCGTAATAAAATTTTCTCGAGACGAGCTCCTCCGTTTCGCGTTATCCCGTCGTCTTCTCGTCGTCGAAGCAATACCTCGAGAAACCGAGAATCGGATTATCCTCCTCGTTTTCGTACGTTTGCGCCGCGTTTTTAGCGGTCGAAGACAGAGGATCCGAAAATCGACTAACGAATCGTATCGCATGATGGAACAATGGCATTAACGAGAGCCAGTCGATGGTCGAGATGTTCGGAGCGGACGGCTCGATCTTCTTCGACGTCGAATTTCGTGGAACGTGGTCGCGTTCCGGTGTCAGGAATCGAGTCGAACGAGCGGAAGACAGGAAAAGGGTATAACGAGCGCGACGAGCCGAACGCATCGATTTCTAACTACACCCCAGAGAACGAACGAGCGCGGCACCGTTGTCGAAATCGATTTAATTACCGAACCCATTAAGGTAATTGCTCGAGGAAGCGTGGATTTTTTGCCACGGCGCGGCCTGGCGATTTTGCGTTGCGACGTAGGGCGATCGATGGCGGCGCGCGCGCCGATTACTCGATGAAATTGCGCGTCCCGGAAATAATTTCATTTCGACGTACGCTCGTAAAAGGTCGGCGAATATCGCGAGATTACGCGGAAGTTCGATGTACGATTCCACCTGAGAAGGTAGCTCCCCGTCGACCAACTTTTTTCCGAAGACTTCCGCTTTAACGTTCCCGCTTCGAGTTTCCGATCGAATTCAGTCCGCGCGATTCGTTCTCCTTGATGGCGTTCTCGATTTATAGAGAAGCACCGTCGAGTTCGCGTAAAACGCGAACCACGTTATTAATTTCAAACAGTTGATTTCAATGGTATTATCCGCGGCCGGCAAACGGTGCCGGCATCGATACGCGCGCCTGATTAACGGCTAACGTATTATTGAAATTTTCATGCGTTATGCATGCCGCGTGGTCGGTAATTGATGAAGCCGCGTGGCTAAACGCGCAAATTGAAACGATGACCTGTCGATTCGTAGAATTTGCGACCGACACCGTCCCGTCGTTTCTTTTCCCGCCGCTATTCCGTTCTCGTTTCGGCTCCCGTCTCCGAACGATTATCGACTTTCGCGTTTCGAGATTCGACGTTCATCGAGTCTTTCCAGGTGACGATAATTATTTTACGGTCGAGAGGAGCGTAGTGCGCGCAGCCACGAAATTTCGTTCGGTTCTCCTCCCCTCTGTGTTTCCGTTTCCGTATCTCTCGGTGCCTACAGTCTATGCTCGGAGGGAAAATCGATAAACCCGACGCGGTTCGGAGTCGTTAAAGAAGGATTACGAATAGCCCGGAGGAAAGTAAAAGAAAAAATCGGCAGGAAAACGAGAGTAGAGGAAATCCTCGCTTCTCGCCGTTTCGATTTCTACGTCGCGTAACGATATAACAGGTGGTGTCCGATTTCAGCCCCGAGCTATCGTGTCCGGAACTTCGTTCCTCCGGTACTTATCTTCGTTTCTCGTCCGCGTTTCGGCAAAGTCGTCGCGCTACTCGGTCAAGTGTCGAGAGATTTTCGACGTCGTCCTCCTCCTTAACTAGCAGAAATTTCGCGCTACCGAAAGCTTATTCCCGACGGGAGAAGTTTGTTCGTGGATGGCTGCACGGTACATTTTCTAAAGAAATATTTTGCGGCTTCCTCTCTCGCTGGTTCAGGGCGTCGAGGAAAATTCGTTTTTCCCCGGAAGAAGAGCCATATAGTCGCCTCGTCCCGATCTCCGTTCCAGCCAGGCGCCGAGAAGCGTCCCGGCGTGTCGTAGCACGCGCGTCCCCAGCCCGACTCCGTAAACTTTCGCTCCGATCCCTCTCTTCGCGGTCTCGAGAAACTCCGTCACGGTTGCCGGGCTAATTCCCTGGCATTTCCCGCGCCCCGTTAACCAGCTAATTGCGCGCCTTCTGTCTACTGCCTCGTCCACCGACATCCTAGCTGCCAGCTTCCTTTCCGCTCCGAGCCCCTCCTTGCCATCCGATCCTTTTACCTTTCTCCGTTTTCCGGCTGAAACGCGCGAAACGCTTAATTACTTCTTCTACCGACCTTTCCGTACCTCACGATATTTTTTCTTTTTCGAACACGCTCCAACGAACTGCTCTCCGTGTCGTTGCGAATCTCCGCGGACTCGATTCTTTATCGCGTAAATGCTGAAAGGGAAATCGATGCGACGGAAACTCGGATTCCGCAAGATCGATTAGGCGAATTTTCGTTCGAAACTAGTTAGGGAAGAAGGTTCGATCGCGAAATTATGCAACCGCGCGACACGTTAGGTTCGAAACGATAGAAACTTTCGCGTTTCGAGATTCGACGTTCATCGAGTCTTTCCAGGTGACGATAATTATTTTACGGTCGAGAGGAGCGTAGTGCGCGCAGCCACGAAATTTCGTTCGGTTCTCCTCCCCTCTGTGTTTCCGTTTCCGTATCTCTCGGTGCCTACAGTCTATGCTCGGAGGGAAAATCGATAAACCCGACGCGGTTCGGAGTCGTTAAAGAAGGATTACGAATAGCCCGGAGGAAAGTAAAAGAAAAAATCGGCAGGAAAACGAGAGTAGAGGAAATCCTCGCTTCTCGCCGTTTCGATTTCTACGTCGCGTAACGATATAACAGGTGGTGTCCGATTTCAGCCCCGAGCTATCGTGTCCGGAACTTCGTTCCTCCGGTACTTATCTTCGTTTCTCGTCCGCGTTTCGGCAAAGTCGTCGCGCTACTCGGTCAAGTGTCGAGAGATTTTCGACGTCGTCCTCCTCCTTAACTAGCAGAAATTTCGCGCTACCGAAAGCTTATTCCCGACGGGAGAAGTTTGTTCGTGGATGGCTGCACGGTACATTTTCTAAAGAAATATTTTGCGGCTTCCTCTCTCGCTGGTTCAGGGCGTCGAGGAAAATTCGTTTTTCCCCGGAAGAAGAGCCATATAGTCGCCTCGTCCCGATCTCCGTTCCAGCCAGGCGCCGAGAAGCGTCCCGGCGTGTCGTAGCACGCGCGTCCCCAGCCCGACTCCGTAAACTTTCGCTCCGATCCCTCTCTTCGCGGTCTCGAGAAACTCCGTCACGGTTGCCGGGCTAATTCCCTGGCATTTCCCGCGCCCCGTTAACCAGCTAATTGCGCGCCTTCTGTCTACTGCCTCGTCCACCGACATCCTAGCTGCCAGCTTCCTTTCCGCTCCGAGCCCCTCCTTGCCATCCGATCCTTTTACCTTTCTCCGTTTTCCGGCTGAAACGCGCGAAACGCTTAATTACTTCTTCTACCGACCTTTCCGTACCTCACGATATTTTTTCTTTTTCGAACACGCTCCAACGAACTGCTCTCCGTGTCGTTGCGAATCTCCGCGGACTCGATTCTTTATCGCGTAAATGCTGAAAGGGAAATCGATGCGACGGAAACTCGGATTCCGCAAGATCGATTAGGCGAATTTTCGTTCGAAACTAGTTAGGGAAGAAGGTTCGATCGCGAAATTATGCAACCGCGCGACACGTTAGGTTCGAAACGATAGAAAGGGTTCGAGGCCGGTATCGAATATCGCGTCGCCGCACCGTGACGTGTCGCGGTTAGGAAGAACGAATCGGAACCGACGCGCGCGAAACTTTACCGTCCCGAAACTAACGGCGACTGGCAAAATATTTGACCAACTTTAAGGATTACGAGCAGTCCCGAACATTTCCTCGCTGTACAACTTTTCGTACCGACTCCTATCCGCGAGCCGCTTCTCGATTCCGTTTCGGTAACTCGGTTTTCGAATATATCGCGACCGCGATAATTGCAACACGGACGCGGGTCGAAAACATACCTTCCGCGTCGGGATTACCTCGAAGAATTAGCGAGAAAGAAGCAGGGATAAGAACCGAGTCGGAAACAAAAGGAAAACTCGATAACGGAGCTCTCGATAACGAGCTCGCTCGAGCATTCGCGAGGAAGATGGAACTCGAGATCGAATTTTGTTGGCGGCAGACGATAAAAAACGTAGACTCACCGGCGAAAGTTTTCTTCGCGAAGCATCCGAATTGTTTTCTTTTTTTCCTAGCGCGTGGAACCCAGCCAGAATCGAGAGGGCGAAACGAATTGGCGGGCGTCGAGAAACGAGGCAAACTAGAATTTTTCGGTAGCACGGATTTCCCCGGTGCTCGTCTAACCGTCACGGTCGACGCGCGCTTCTCAAAAGCGTCGTCTCGCTGACTTATTTGGCGCCGCGAACGAGTTTCTCTCGGCTTTCGAATATTCGACGTTCTCGCGGCACCGCTATTTTTCCTCCTTCCAACGTAACGTTCGTATCCGAGGCGAGCTTTCAGAGCTCGACGATCCTCTTTCCGCGGCGAAAGAGCGCGACCCCGGTGAATGGCCCGTCGTCTCGAGCGCGAAAAAACCGGCTAGCTGCCGACAAGAGCGGAAGGAAACCGATCGCCGGCCGAATCGTTTCTCCTCTTCTCGAAGCTGCCAACTAACGCCTCGGACGAGCAGACGGTCGAAGGGACGTGCCAATTTGCACCGGGAGGACGTCCTCGGAAGTTTACGCCGGCTACGGTTGACCGGACGAATTCGGACGGACGTCTGTCAGCCGAAAACTGGCAACTCGCGCGTTTAACGACGAAACGAGGCGTCGTAACGCTTTCGAGCGCACGGAATCGGAATAACCGCAAATCCCAGTTGCAACTTATCCGTCCGCGTCCAAGCCAGCTTTCCGCTCCGCAAAATATCGCTCTCTTCCGCGCTTACCTCCTACTCTCTAGTCGACGTTTCTCGTTTCGTGCGTGTTTAGGTCGCGTCACCCTTCCGACGGATCGATCGACGATCTCGACGCATCGTCCGTTTCGGAACAAGGTCTCCGGAAAAGCTGTTCGGTCCGTAGCCGCTCCGACCGTTCGCGAATACGCGCGGATAAAGGACGGAACGTTATTACGTCCAGAGTATCGCGAAAAATACGCGGACTAAGCGGATTTCCGTCGCGCTTGGCCAAGTTTGTCCGGATAAAATCCTGACCGCTTTCTCTCGACCGAGATCTTCTTTCGCGGTCGGTTCCACGACTTTGCCGCTCTCCCCTTTATTCGACCGGATGGAGCGTAAAGCCGGAAGCCAGCCGACCAGACAATAATGGCGATGGAACCGCGACGCGACACCGTTTACCGAAAGTTACGCTCGTACAAGCGTTTATACCGGTTGATCGTTTTGCCGATTCAGCCGTGAAACCCGTAATCGGTTTATCCGGCACGAACAGAACTATTTCGCTTCGCGGAATCAATCGAGAAACAGCTTCTGCCTGCGACGCGATCGCGCGTACGGTAGCCGCTTTATCGCGACGATATCGCGATGCGAAAGCTTTCCCTGCAGGATGTAAACCGTGCATTCGTAAAGTTCCGTTTCTTTGTCTCGGAAGATCGAGCTTCCGTCTTACGAGAAAAGCGTATTTAACGATCGTCCCGCTAAACTTTTCGTCGTATAGATCGGACGAAGAGAAACGGTCGCGCGTAATCGTTTTACGAGCCAACTTTTCATAGACGTTAAAAGTGACCGTCGTTCTTCTGACCCGACGGCGGTAGCGACGTCCCAATTAGGAAACGAAACGCGACGGAAGACGACTCGCTTTCGAGAAAATACGATCGCGGAGACCGATGAGTACGGAGGACTATGCTTCGCTATCACGAAAGACATAAAGGCAACCTGGCGCGTTCCATTAGAGCGATGTCTACGGCGTAGCTATCAGCGGTAACGGACCAGCTGACGCGGCAATGCAAACGCTACCTTTCCACCCAACGCAAACACCCTCGTCTGTCCTTTGCCCAACCGCGCGTTATACCCGATGCACATACCTACGCGTCCCTTTCTATCGGATATAACCATTTGCATTTTACAACTAACCGCAGCCCTCGTCGAGTTACCTAACCGAAAACACGTCCTTTCTTCCTCGATCGAATCGGTCCGCGTCCCGAACGCGATAGTCCTTTCCCACGGAAAATCTTTCCGTCGGCGAGTCGTTCCATCGGTTTCCGTCAAGCAATCTCCGTCCGATTATCTCGACTCGAACTCGCGACAACGCGGACAGATCTTAATACTCGTAGTTTCTTAAGTGCCGACCAAGTTCTCTCTGTTCCTTCCAATTATAACCTTCGAAAGCTCCAACAGCCCGTGACGCAAGAGCTTGGATGCATATCGAGTTACGACTCCGTTGCTCGCTATCTACCAAATACCGTAACTCCCTGTAGCGATGCCGTAGGTTCGTCCACGAGTACCGTGTACTACGTATTAACCTCCTTACGGACGTTAGCTACCGAGGTTGGCTAATGCGCACTGTTGTACGCGCAAATCTCGCGGACCAACTCTGTTGGACGCGAATCGAACGCGTTCGTAACTCGAGTTTGTCGGGGATACGCGAGATAAGCTGTTGGAATAGCCAAGTACACGTTGTACTCGAAACGTCTAAACGGAGCGAGAGAGAGAACGGCGTTTATACCGACGTTTGCTAAATTTAATTCCACGACCGCGAAAGCCTACCCCGCAGATCGCAGGCCACGAGGATCGACGAGAGATCGAAACGCGGCCTCGATAACGCTCGACTTCCGTTGTTCAACTTTTTGTTTTCAATTATTCCTCGCGGTTTACGCCGACTCGAAAAAAAGTTGTACGCGTTCGACTAAAGTTTGCTTATTTATTGAAAGTCGGTGAATCGTTAACTCGGCATTTTTCTACGAATCTACATATTTTCAGAGTCTCGAAGTTCTCGCGCGATTCCATTTGCTTGGTCGGTAAGAAGAAGAGTAAACCGAACGGAAACAACACGGTAGAGGATAAAATCGACGATGGATTTGTCCGAAAGAGGCTTCGATCCAGACTTCGGCGTATTTTTCCAGTCGCGGAAACCCGAAGCGAGTTTCGCGCGATTCCCGCTTCGATAAATACTTACTTAATCGATCGAGATTCGCCACGATGTTAGACGTTTCTTTATCCGTTACCACGAGTTCGTAATGGGTAATCACCGAACCGATGTTCGACGCGATCGCTCCGTTTAAAGTCGTTTCGTTCGGGACAAGTGTTTTCCTTCAAAATTTTATCCTCGATTTTTCCAACAAAGACAATTTGTTGATGCGCGAATGATTAAAAAAGGGAAATAACGTTACTACTCGCCGAAAGCGAAGATGATGGTCAATCCCAATAGACGATCGAGCATCGCAACCAACAACTTCGAAGCTTTGTGCAGGTGAAAAGACGCTGGTTCGAGGAAAAGCGAAAACGAGTTTATCTCGCAGTGGCCAGGCGCTTCTTTCGTTTCTCGAACGAACGCGATCGCCGTTGGTTAGAGTACCGGTGTGCTGGCGTAATATTTCGCGGGTTTTTTCCTTCGCGATCAATCGCGCTAATTCCGCGCAGTTTCCTACCTTCCGAAGCGAAACTACGCCGTCGGTCATTAGGTTCGTTTCACCAGCCTATACGATTTCAATTAGGCTAATGATTTCACCGAGGTGCGCGTCATTTTCGCCGGGAACGCGTTTCGGCTCAGATATTTTCCCGCGTATTTGCCTGATTGGATTTACCAAAAGTTTTTGCAGCTCCCGAACGTCCGACGCGTTTCGCCTGGCGGCAGAAATTAGCGCGCGGCGTGATATACGAACGAAACAAAGTAGCGTCGCGATCGTGTGTTTCCTAAATCGACGAGGTTGTCCGCGCTTCCTACAAAGTTACGTAGTACGGAAAAACGTCGGGCTTTCGTGCGTCTCGAAAGAACGTGGTTGTTTTTGTTTAACGCTTTCGTCGGTGCCGGCGACCGAGAGAAAAGGACGGCTTTTTCGAAAGTTTTTCCGGTTTATCGAGACAGAAAAGCAGAGGGAAGAAAGTCGCGCGAGCAAGAGGCTCGGAGAAGAATGGCGGACGACGAAGCGGGAAAAAAGTAACGGGCGTCGGCGCGTGGTAGTAACGGCGTTGTGTACCGAGTGCCGCGAACACAAGGACCGTCAGCTCGCTCGTTCGCCCTCGAGCGGATCGACGAACGACGCGGACAATGCGGAGTGTCGCGCACCACGGATGCTACCAACGGCATAGACAAAAGCCCGGGAAAGAATTAATGGCGGGCGGGCCGACTCTTTCCCACCGTTCCAAATGCCCCAACGCGCACCGAATCTTTCGACCATTGCACTCGCCTTTCTTGCCGCGTTCGCTCCTCTCTTTTTTCCTCTTTTCCCCTTTTCCCCATTTTCCCTGTATCCCTGTAAACGAGTTACAGAGCTCGGCCAACCTCGTCTACCGGGTGAAAAGATGGAAATAAAATAGGGGCAGAATCACGGATCGCTGCCGCCGAAATTAAGTGGTCTCGCATCGGGGGAGACGACGACGACGCGTTTTTCCCGCTCGATGAATCATACGGGAAAGAATATCGAGAACCTCTCGACCATCCTCGATCCTGGTTTCCGCTCTACCCGGCCACTCCGCTGAATTTACGATCGGGTCGCGGGAACGGCAGGAAAAAGAGCGACGGAATTAAGTAATTTCGTTCTGACAGCCAGCAGTTTGCAATCTTCCTCTCTCTTTCCGACCAGATTTAAACGGCCAGATAAAACTCATTTATTAAGAAGAAGATCCGCTCTAGTTAGCGCAGAAACGTGGACAGACTGGTACGACGATAGAGTCGCGTGGACGATTCGTCGGCGAAATAGTAAATCGATCGATTCTTCCGGTTCTCGGGAACCCCGAAATTCTATCCGCGTATCATACGCAGACAAGATGTAGCCAATTCGCCGACACGGCTCGAGAGAAGCGCGGCGTAAAACGTGGCTTCTCCGTCGGCCTGTTTGCAACGCGCAAACGCGTTACGTCAACGACGATGTTGCTCGAGACAACGTCGCGTGCCGGTAATGATCGTTCTCGTTGCATCGCGACTCGCGAATCTTCCTTTCTGGTTCGACTGGAAATCGGAAAAACGCGATCGATCCCGTTCGTCAAATCCTCGAGCCGCTAAAGACGAACGAAGCTCGATCCAGAGCGCGTGAGTTCCCGTTCTTTCGAATCGGTAAAAAACCGTTCAGTGATTACACGTTTTACTTCCTGCATTTTCTTTCTCGAAATGCCTAAACTTCGAGGCGAGCAAACTCCTCCGGCTTAAAATCGCGTGCCGTAACGAAAATACGTATTAGTCGATCGTAGGCGAGCGACCCAGCGGCAAAGATAAAATAGAGTTAGATAGTAGAAGGGAGGTCAGGTTCAACGAGTCGAAGCAAAGCTCTCGAAAGCCGCGCGTTCCATCGTTGAATCGATCAAAGTTGTTATCGCCGGTTCGCGTCGCTTCGCACCGCTCCGCACCGTGCTCTGAAACGCTGGGTATACTCGGAATGTTCCTATACTTGTCGTTATACCGAACAGTTTCCGAGATGGCTCGAGAGTCGACCCTCGTTTAATTGCTTTATCGAACATCAAACTATCCATTCCAGGGTAACCGCAGACGTTTACCCATATTCCAAGGGTTCGCGTACACGAAGCTTTACCTTTCTCCATTTAGAGACGAGCGACTCGCGTTTCGCCAACGTTTCGGGCAAAAGGATCGGTTCGGTTCGATGGCTCGAACCGGCCATCGATTATATAAACGTTCCCTCCTAAACGACGTTCTTTCTTTCACGGAAATTCTTTATCTCGCGCGTAGTCGAGCCGCCGAGAGAACGAGTACGAGCACTACGTGTACTACCCGGGACGTTCCGCGAGAAATTGCGTTAGTTTTGTCCAGGAGAGCGATAGCCCTTGCATACCGAATGAACTTATCGTTAGTGCCGTGTTAGGGAACTAGGTAGAGCGCTCTAGACAGCGGCGTGCCTTTGAAATCGACCCCTTTTCTTTTTCCCCTCGGCCATTTCTCTCGCACGAGCGGATTTATCGTCGATCCCTCTCGACTACCCGTTTCCGTTGTTTAGTTATAAATTTGTGCGATCCGTCGACTCGATTCGTTCCGATACAACGATTCGTCCTTTCTCGAAACAAGTTCTCTTCGATCTCGTTTCGACGGATAATCGACATCGGCAACGAGAGTCGGCCTTTCAAAGGTTACGAGGCTCGTCTCGCCGTAACGGAGCAACGTTTCGCCTTCGAGAATCTATTTGGGTGGTCCGACGCGAGCGAAACGGATCGCGTGACATTTGCCGCGCTATCCTGCTTCTTGACCGCCTACGGCGCGGTGCACGCGACGTCGCATCGAGGCTTTGCACACGGATTTCTCTCCGAATTTTCGCTGCTTTCCAAACAGCGTTCGTTCAACGCCGTTCGTGGTAATCGAGGTTCCCGTCCACAATCAGCGGCGTTAGATCGACGCGTTCCTGTTTTATTAATGTTTGATAACGTCGCGAGAGTCAGCACGACTCCCGCAGCCGCGTCCCTTTCGGAGTTACTCGAATCCCCTGTCATTCGTGGCCGAGTAATTTTTCTCGGCGAACGCGCACCGTCCTCGGGGAACGATATTTCAGCAACGGGAAAACAACATTTTGCAGCGTGCGAACGAGATTAGGTTAAATCGAATCGATCGCTCGAGAAAAACTGTTCCGGACGGAGAAGCGTATCTTATTTTGGGTGTCGAATCGAACATAAGTTTCTCCGCGGAATTTCGATGTGTCCGATGGTACGAAAGGTTTCGTAATTGTCGCGGATTAGGACGCGATCGCGTTGGTAAAGAATTTGAACGACTTTAGAGTGAGCGATTTAATATAAGCGATTTATCGATAAACGAATCGATAATCGATCGAAGGATCGTTATATTTTTTGTTCGAAGGAGAAACGCGCGGAGCCGAATGCCCGGAGGACAGCGTCAAAGGGGAAAACGGTGACTGCAAATGCGCGCCCGAGTGTCCACCGGCCAAATGTCCATCGGGTCAACGACCGGTCCAGGTGAAGCCGGCGGATCCCGATACGCCCGGTAGCTGTTGCGCTCGTTACGATTGCGTTCTCTCAGGTAAGGAACTTCGAAAAACGATCTCGACGATCCATTCTCGAAAAAGCAGCAGCTCATCGCCGAGTACCGCCGCTGTCCGTTCTTCCTTCCTTTCGACGCGGCAAACGTTCGACGTCGCGCCGCGCCGCGCATACGATACACGGACACCGAATCTGTCTGATGAGAGTGTCGTTTTTCCTGCGAAAGAATCTCGAGGGACCGAGCCGTGTCCCGAGAACACCGTGTTGACGGAAGACGGAGGATGCGAGTGCGCGCCCTGTCCATCAGCGAGCTGCCAGCCTGGCTATCGCCCGGTTCAAGTGAGGGCTGCCCTCGATCGCGAGTCGCCCGATAGCTGTTGCCCTCTGTACGACTGCAGGCCCGCAGGTAATTACGAAAGCTCGCGATCGTGGCTCGCTTTCGTCGCTCCCTTTCCATCCTTCGCATCGGTTTCATCGGTCACGATACGACCGCGTGCCAGTCCCGACGATGCACCCTTCTCTAACGGGTCGATATCTCTCCAATCTCCCCACCCTCCTTCCATCCCTCTCTTCTTACCTTTCCTCTATCTGCTCTCTCTCTCTCCCTCTCTCTCTGTCTCTCTCTCGCTCGCATAGGTCACCGCTTCAATCGTCGATTCGACCGGAAAATCGCTCGTTCCTCGTAAACGCGTTCGCTCCGAACCGTCCGACCGGTCTCTCTGTATCGACTATTCTCGGTCTTTCCGGTTCGAGAAGTCGAGCGATCGACTCGAAGCATCGACCGATCTCCGAATCGTCCCGCGGAACGAGGAGCACACCGAGTTTCGAGTTACCGCGCCTCGTGGCGGCCGACGCGAACTTTCGATCTACCTGTTGAATTTTAACGAGTTTATTCTTATCTCGCGACGCGACACGCTCGAAACTCGATGGCTCCGTCC